CCTCTCCTGGAATTGACACCTCCTCATCCATTATTGGGAGTGGACCACATCCACCCTGATGGAACTGGCGCTGTCAGCACTGGGTCTCCACTTGTGCGATAACTCCCTTCTCTCCATGGGTCAGTGTATAGTGCCTGCATCTGGATCGCTCACTCCATGCAGCTGAAGAACCAGTCGGAACAGGGCTGCACTCGTTAATGGCTATTACTCGTTAGCAGTACGGCAGTGTCTGTGGAGCTCGGCTGAGACTGGGCACAGGACAGCCAGGGAGGGAGAGGCTGCTCCTGCCCTGAAGAGCCCACAGCCTACATGTAGACAAAGGGTGTGACGGGAAACTGAGGCACAAAGAGGGGAAACTAACACATATTGCACCTCCAGTTGCCTCTTCCGCCTGGCTTTTCCCGCACCCCTCAGGCATCAGATCCAGATAGGGAGGCAGAATTGCCTGAAAACATATTGCACCATCTGCAAAACCATTCGGAGATACATATCTCCACTGCTCAGATAATCAATACCCCCCAAAACACCCCTTTCTTACGAGCCGATCACAACCTGGGGGGTACCTCATCCACCGCACGACATGCCTATAACACCCCTGCGGGGGAAGGGACGCAGTCCCTGCACGCCCGAATGAACTCCCGCAGGAAACCGAGAACAGACAGAAACCCCCCAGCTCTGACCTCTCCGGCCTCGTCCTCCCAGGAAACCTGCCCGACACCTTCACGAGACGCGCCCGGGAGCGTCGGTTCAGCACTGCGCTCGGCCCCAAAGATCCAAGCCTGAAGAGACGCACTGGATTGACGGTTCCCTACCGCGCTCCGTAACCCACCAACCCCGCTTCGGCCTGAGTCATCTTGTGCAAGGTGTTTGCTCTGGATCTATCGTGTAGGCCTTGCTGGAGCCCTGGGCATAACCAAAGGCTGGGAACCAGAGCAGGGCTTGGCAGAAGAGCGATGCAGTCCAGCAAGCCGAGGATACCCACTGGGTGCAAAAAAACCCAGATCTCTCCAGTAGCTTTGTACACAGATTCCTAGGCGATTGCACCAGAACTGCCGGACCCCTCCTGAGATAAGGAGCCATTGACAGGATAATAGATGACGGTGTTCTGTTCCAACTGCAGGTAGGAGGAGAAGGGTGGTAACCAGGAATGCCTGGAGCGTGTTTGTATCAGTGCATGAAAGGAGAAGTCCTAGGAGGGGGACTCTGTAGGGGACAGGCCCCTGGTGTCCGACTGAGCCTTTGCCACTGTCCCGGGCAGACGTGTGACCCATCAGACAGGCGCTAGGACCGTGCTTTGCTGACAATAAACCTGGCCGAGCACCTTGGCCACCGACCCGAGCCCGGGCTCCATCCTCACAGAAAGCCTGGAGGGCTGCTGGCCTGGTGATTGCCCCGCCCGCACGGGCGCTCCGAGAACAGCAGCGCTCAGCACCTGGCACAACCCGGCAGCGTTGGCAGCTCGCTGCGGCGTGGACCACTGGGACGCGCCGAGCACCTTCCCCGGGCCTGGCGAAGAGCTCCACGGAGCCCGTGATTCTCACAGCAGATGGGGACCACGCAGGGGGGACTGGGGCTGTGTTACAGCACACGCCGGTGCACACTCGCTTTGCACGCCCACAGCTCGCCCCAGTGCAAACAGACGGGGGAGCGGTTGTACGGCTGCTGCTGCACACACAACCTTGCAGTGACCTGGGGCGGGAGGGGAGCAGTTGCTGGCGTCCCTGGGGGGGTAGATCAGGTTCTACCACTTTGCTGCTTCTCCTCTCCTCAGTGGGGCCTGGGACTTGGCTCAGCCGCTGGCTGTGAGCTCCTCTCCGCCCGAGCAAGGACAGAGTCTACAGCGGGTCCTGGCGTCAGTATTTGGCTCTGGAAAATGGGGGAATGACACAGCAGAAAAAATGCAAACAGCTGCCCTCATCCATCACGCACAGCTGGGACAGAACCCAGGAGTCCTGGCTCACAGCCCCCCCTGCTCTAACCCACCAGCCCCCACTCCCCTCCCAGAGCTGGGAGAGAACCCAGGAGTCCTGGCTCCCAGACCCCGTGCGCTAACCACTAGTCCCTGTCGTAGACTGGGGCTGTCCATAGCACCACAGCATCACAGCTTGTAAAGCCCTAGTGTAACACGCTGCTTTACAAGCCCATTGGCTGCATCGCTGGCCTACCAAGTACTGCACCAGCCTCCATTTCCACACAGATTTCAGCCAGGGGCGGGGAGCCTGGCAGGGGTCGGGGGGAGGGGGCAGAGGCACAGACAGCGGCAGGCGTGAGCGAGGGCTGTGGGGGAACAGAGCTCAGGAGCAGACCGGGTTGGCACAGACACGCACAGCGCCTGGCGCGGCTTTGCCCCCCAAAGGTTCCCGCCGGGCCGGTTCGGGGTGACAGATCGCGGAGGGTTTGAAGGCCGGGGGGAAGGAGCGGTGACCCCCATTGTACGAGGAAAGGGCACCGGGGCTGAATGCAGCAGGCCCTGCTTGGGGCGGGGGGTCACCTCACTGGCTACATGGGGAGCAGGGAAGGGGGGTGGCACCTCTGAACTCTGGATCTTCGCTAACCGGCTGACTGGGGTGCAGGGAAGGGGGGTGGCGTGTTAAAGGGACAGTCCTTCCTTTGCTGCACACAGACTCCGTGCTCGTGAGTGGGGAAGTCCTGCCTCCTACAGCAGCTAGGGAGGGCAGGAGGTTTTCCCAGGTCACGGGGTCAGGGCTGTTGTTAAGAGCAAACCCTCAGGACTGACCCCAGCCTTGGCTGCCGGCTCCACCTGGCAGAAGGGTCCCACGAGTCAGAATGAAACAGACGCAACCCCCTGAGCTTGTGTACACAGGACAGCCCCCACCCCCCGCACACACGGTGCTCCCCTGCGGGAGAAGCAGAGAGAGAAAGAACCACGCGGACAGATGTCAGTCGTGTGCCTTAACGCACAGCTGGCGACGAGGATGCCTGGCTTCGTACGGTTAGTATTACAGGTGTTACGACTGCATCTTGAGGCCCCGACCGGGATCAAGGCCCCGTCGGGCCGGGCGCCGCCCAGACCCCAGCCGAGATCAGGGCCTTCACAAATGGGGAAACTGAGGCACGGAGAGGCAAGTGCTTGCCCAAGGTCTCACAGGGACTCTGTGGCAGAGAAGAATTGAAGCCAGATCCCCTGAGTCTCAGCCTGGGGCTTTCACCACAAGACCTTCCCCTCAGTCCCCTTATCGGGGGAATGGACGACCCAAAGCCGTAACCTGGCTGGATCGCCCGGCGGTTGAGTCCTCCAAGCACCCACCATGGCTTTGGTCTGAACCAAACCCGTTCTCGGCTGCGCCCATGTTTGAACAACGCCAGCGGCCCCAGATAAGAACCGTATGCACCCGACGCACGTTACTACCCCTCCTGGGTAAATACCGCCCAGCCGGCCTGAAACCAGCCAGTGTAAAGCCTGGGATCCCCGGGGCTGCCGGGACGCCTCCGCCGAGCAGCTCGGCTGCTTCTCGTGGATCCTACAGCCAGAGCGGGATTATTTTGATCATCCAGTCGGAGTTCCCGCAGAATGCGGGCCAGAGACCTCTCCGGCTGACATCCGCTACACACAACCGCAGGACCCGATGGGGGGCGGATACATAACCACACTTCTGCTGCTGGTCTGTATTTCCGGCCTGATCTACCTCCTTGTGCGCAGACCAAGGTCCCGAAGAAGCCACCTTCCCCCCGGCCCCGCTCCCCTGCCTTTCCTGGGCAACGCGCTACAGCTGAAAGCTGAGGGGATGGTGAATTCGCTCAGGGAGGTAGGTCCCGTCTGCCTGCATCCCGCGTTTGCTCTTCCCAGGGAGCGGTTAGGAGCCTGCTACTGCGACTGTGAAAGGAATCCTAGCATGCTTCACCGCCACCGGGAACCGTTCCCGCACGAGGATAAGGGTTTGCTGCTGTATCCTCGGCTCAAATTCTCTCCCCTGTGCTGCTGGGCGGCATGGCCTCTTGATTTATTCCCCCCCCCCCCATTATGTAGGCCTGGGAGCCCCAAACAACGCTCACGACCCCAGTGCGTTAGGCGCTGTACGTCCATATAGCGCGGAACACCGGGCGACGGATGCAGTCTGCCCCAGAGGTCGCCGCATCTCAGCTTTGTGCGCTGTTGCACAGGCTCAGGCGCGAGGCGTGGGCGGATATTGGGGGCCAAGGAGAGTTTAGGGGCTGGGTGGGGTGAGCGAGCGAGGGGGAGGACACGGGGCGGTGGCTTGTATAGATAAATAACCGTGAAAGGATTTTTGCACGGTTCACTAGCCGAGCCGGGCGGTGGCTGCACGAACAGGGTGTGAGCGAGAAAGCCGATCGATACGCTCAGCGACTGCAAACCAGGGGCGTCAC